CTAAGATCAGAATAAGATGAGGATGTCCCTGCTCTTACCACTTTTATTCAACATTGTACTGCCTAAGCAGTTAGGCAAGAAAAAGTAATAAAAGGCATACAGACTAAAAAGGAAGAAAAAACTATATTTGCAGATGATAAAATTTATAAAAACTGAAAACTCTATAAAATCCACCAAAGATTATGAGAGCAAGGGAGTTCAAATGTCTAGAATACAAGACAAAGGAAAAAAATAGATCAATTGAACTTCATCAAAATTTAAAAACCCTTGTACTTCAAAGGACATTATCAAGAAAGCAAAAACAATCCATAGGGAGAAAACATTTGCAGACCTTGTATCTGATAAGAATCTAGTACCCACAATATAAAAAAAAACCTGTTAGTACTCAATAATAAAAAGCCTACAAAATAAAAAGATCTGTAAATATTTTGGATCAGTCCTTTCATCCTAACAAGGTCTTTTGCAGAACAAAAGTTTTTTAGTTTGATGAATTCCAGTTTATCAATATTTTTTCCTTTGGTTGTTTATGCTTAGGGGTGATGTCATGCTTTTGATGTCTATGGATGTCCAGTTGCTCCAACACTCTCTGTTGAGAAAGTTGTCCTTCTGCCATTGAAATGCTTTTGCACCTTTGTCAAAATCAGTTGGCTATCTGATAAGGGATTTGTGTCTAGAATATTTATAAAGAACTCTTACAACTCAATAATAAAAATAACCCAACCAAAAAAGTGGGCAAAGAATTTTGAACATTTCTCCAAAGAAGGTATACAACAGACCAATAAGCACATCATCATTAGTCATTAGAAAAATGCAGATCATGGGCAGCCCGGGTGGCTCAGCGGTTTAGCGCTGCCTTTGGCCCAGGGCCTGATCCTGGAGACCTGGGATTGAGTCCCGCGTCGGGCTCCCTGCATGGAGCCTGCTTCAACCCCCTCTGCCTGTGTCTCTGCCTCCCTCCCTCTCTCTCTCTCTCTCTCTCTCTCTCTCTCTCTCTGTCTCTCATGAATGAATAAATAAAGGTTTTTTTTTAAAAAAAGAAAAAAATGCAGATCAGAACCTCAATGAGATACCACTTCATACCATCTAGGATAGTTATAATAAAAAAAATAATAATAATCTGATGATATGGAGGAATTGGACCCTTCCTGCACTGCTGGTGGGAATATGAAATTATGTAACCACTCTAGAAAACTGTTTAGTAATTCCTCAAAATGATAAATATAGGGGCACCTGGGTGGCTCAGTCGGTTAAGCGTCTGCCTTCGGTTCAGGTCATGATCCCAGAGTCCTGGGATCAAGCCCCACGTCCGGCTCCCTGCTCTGTGGGGAGCCTACTTCTCCCCCTCCTCCCTGCTCATGCTCTCTCTATCTCTCTCACTCTCTCAAATAAATTTTATAAATTTTTTAAGTTAAATATAGTTACCATATGATCTAGCAATTACTCCTAGTTATATATCCAGAAAATTAAAAACTCAAGTTACTTGTTTAAAGCAACATTATTCACAGTAGCCAAAAGGTAGAAACAATCCAAGTAGCCATCAACAAATGAATGGATAAGAAAATACGGTATATCCGCAATACTATTTAGCTTTATTTTTTTTTCTATTTAGCTTTAAAAATGAATAAAGTATTGACTCATGATACACCATGGATGAATGTTGAAGGAATTGTGCTAAGTGAAAGAAGGCAGACAAAAAAGACCACATACTGTATGATAGCATTTCATGATTTCATTCCATTCTGGAAATGACCAGAATAGAAAAATCCATCAAGGGATCCCTGGGTGGCGCAGTGGTTTGGCGCCTGACTTTGGCCCAGGGCGCGATCCTGGAGACCCGGGATCGAATCCCACGTCCGGCTCCCGGTGCATGGAGCCTGCTTCTCCCTCTGCCTGTGTCTCTGCCTCTCTCTCTCTGTGTGACTATCATAAATAAATAAAAAAAAATTTTTTTTAATAAAAAAAAAAAAAAGAAAAATCCATCAAAATAGAAAGTTGATTAGTGGTTGCCAGGAACTGAGGAGAAGGGGGAATGGGGAGTGACTATGTATAGGTGTCAGCTTTGGGGGCAGGGAATGAAATGTTCTGGAATTAGACATAGTGGTGATGCACAATTCTGTGAATATACTAAAAACTGCCGAATTGTATACTTTAAAGGGATGAATATTTGTGACTTACATCTCCATTTTAAAAAGGTATGGGAAGTTACACTGGAGAAACAATCTTAGTGAAATACTGGAAGATAAAGCCGATTTGCAAAATATGATCTATAAAGTTGTAAAATTAGGGGATCCCTGGATGGCTCAGCAGTTTAGCACCTGCCTTCAGCCCTTAGCACCTGCCTTCAGCCCAGGGCGTGATCCTGGAGTCCCGGGATGGAGTCCCACATCAGGCTCCCTGCATGGAGCCTGCTTCTCCCTCTGCCTGTCTCTGCCTCTCTCTCTCTCTCTCTCTCTGTGTGTGTGTGTGTGTGTGTGTGTGTGTGTGTGTGTGTCTCATGAATAAATAAATAAAATCTTTAAAAATAATAATAATAAATAAAGTTGTAAAATTAGAGGGTGCCTGGGTGGCTCAGTCAGCTAAGCATCCGCCTTTGGCTCAGGTCATGATTTCAGGGTCCTGGGATTGAGCCCCTCATCAGGCTCCCTACTCAGCAGAGAGCCTGCTTCTCCTTCACCCTCTGCCACTCTCCCTGCTTATGCACATGCTCTCTGTCAAATAAATAAATCTTTTTTTTTTTTTTTAAGTTCTAAAAATTAGTTCAGCCCTTCATAGAACTTGTGAGAGAAGTCAGATCTGAGTCTTTTCTCTTTGTGACTGCCTTTAGCTTCTGGTCACCTTTAGCACTTACCATGTCAGAATTTATCTTTTTTTATTTTTTCAGGTGTCTATGGTTTTGGAATTTAAGTACGTAATAGTATATTATAACCATTAATCATCACTCCATTTTGAAAAGTCTACAAATCTAATTTTGGATCCTAATCTAATTTTGGATCCTTGAAAAATAAGCAAATTAAAATGAGTGGCTTGACCAACTTCTTGCCCTTTGGTAGGATCAGTGCTGAATCTCCAGAAGCAGAGCCAGCAATCCTGACCCACTTTCCCTCCCTGTGCTAGGAAGAAAGCTTGGTGTTTAAGGCCGAAGGGTCTGTTCATATAGTCTAAAAAGTGGGAACATCATCCCCCTTTATAGACGGGAAGCTACAGGTCAAAAGACCATCCCCAAGGCTACTGCTACTGTCCTGTCTTTACCCACAGCTTGTTCTCAGCCTTCCTCCAAAAGTCAAAAGTTGCCTTTAAAAAAGTGCTCCCAGGGTGGGGGTGACTGGGTGACAGGCACTGAGGGCGGCACTTGATGGGATGAGCAATAGGTGTTATGCTATATGTCGGCAAATTGAACTCCAATTAAAAAAAAAAAGTGCTCCCATCACAAAATTTAAATAAAAACAACTGGTAATGGTAGACTGCCTTACTGCCTTCTCAGCCCTTCCCTCAGTCTGAACTGATGACAGTAGGGCAGGTAGTGTCCCCACCTTACAGATGAAGGAACAGAACTTGAGAGGCATCATGATGGCAGAGGTCCCACAGCTAGTGGGTGTCTGAGCCAAGGCCAACTGTCTGTCTTGCCTTCTCCCCTGTTATCTCCATTGTAATGCTGAACCTGGTAAGACAGTTACCTATTTTCCTCTTCCTGTGAAGATCCTAGCTGCTGTATACACAAGGCCCTGTGAGCTCCCCGGAAAAGGGTTCTGGAAAGCCAACATTCACAGCACTGGCCGTGGGGCACCAAAAGCCATGTATCTTGTGACATAACCTAAGAAGACTGGGTTACATGTTACAGGTTAAAAAACGAGCAACAGGGAGGCCATGTCAGCAGGATGGACAAGAAATGATGATAGTTGAACCAGGATCCCTGGAGATGGACAGAGAAGCAGGGAGGAGTTCAACCTTTGGGCAGGAGACAAGTGATACAGCAGCACCTAAGTGCGACAGACCTGAGTCCTCAGCCAGGCCCAGCTACTCATCAAGGTGGTTATGGCTCTGAGCCTCTGTTTCTCATCTGTAAAGTAGGTATATGCAATGATGTTTAATGTCCCTGGGCGCTGTTATATGCCCAAGAAATAGTGGTTGAAACCCAGCACCTGGCTGTGAAGGAGGCCTCTTTCCAGGCAGTGGAGCCTAACCACCTGTCAGAATGTGATCCTGGCCCCATCTTACATTTTCAAAAGTTTAACTTCTTGAATAACTTTTTTTTTAATTGCAAAGGACTCTGCTACTTTTTTTGTTTTGTTCCTTAAGATTTATTTGAGAAAGAGAGAGAGCATGAGCCAGGGGGTAGGAGCAGAGAGAGAGGGAGGAGACTCCCTGCTGAGCAGGGAGCCAGATATGGGGCTCCATCCCAGGACCCTGGAATCATGATCTGAACCAAGACAGCCAGCTTAACCGACTGAGCCACCCAGGCGCCCCAATTGAATAACTTTATATATGACGACGACACTGACAGGACAGGGCCATGCAAGGGGCCCCAGGAACTATAAAAAGCATGTTTCTACAGGCTGTGTCATGGTTTATAGTTTCTACCTTTGGTGAAAAACCAAAGGAGAGCCCCAGGGCATTAGCTGTCCCCCTCAGGGGCTGTGCTGCTAAACAGGTAAAGCACTCCTTGGGAAAGTCAGCCCCTCACCCACCACAGGAAAATTGCATTATGTTCAGCCTATCTACTGAGTATAAACCTAAGTCAGAGTCTTCTGACACACCAAAGTAGAGGAAGCTGCCTTTTGCTATTTCTTCTGTCTGTCCATCATCCTGAAGACCTATGACAGGAAGAGCAGGAGACTCTTCTTCAAAAGACCTGGCCCATTCGAGCCTGTTTCTTTCACTTAAGGAGTTATGGGACCTTGTAAGTCCCTTCAAATGGCTGGCCTCAGGGATCTGCACTTTACTTTGGGGCCTGCGAAAGTACCTAACAGACACTTTATCTTATCTGTGAATATGTCTTTCAGCTCTGTGCAGTGTGTCTAGAAGACTTCAAGCCTCGAGATGAGTTGGGCATTTGTCCATGTAAGCATGCCTTCCACAGAAAGTGAGTATTGGTGTGGAGTTTTTTAAAGGGACCTCAGTTGGGACGCCTGGGTGGCTCAGCGGTTTGGCGCATGCCTTCAGCCCGGGGCATGATCCTGGAGTCCCAGGATCAAGTTCTACATCGGTCTCCCTGCATGGAGCCTGCTTCTCCCTCTGCCTCTGTCTCTGCCACTCTCCCTCTCTCTGTGTCTCTCATAAATAAATAAAATCTTTTTAAAAAAATAAAAATAAAGGGACCTCAGTTTGAGGCACATCAAGCAACATGTGGGCTCGGGGCAGTGCCAGGCAAGCTTGACAGCTTCATGATTGATCTATAATGCAGAAAGCTGAACTACTCTATAGGGTGAGGGGTGTGCAATTGTACATGTGACATGAGGGATTGGGGTGGTGGAACATGAGCACCAGGCAGGACTTTGGGCACAGGGCCAGATAAACCCACACCTCCTTAGAGCCCAGGCTAGAAAGAGCTACTTAACTGGAACTTTCCAACAAAAGTTTCTATTACTAAAAACTTATTTTAATCAAAACCATCATTATTTTAAATCAAGATAAAGGGGGGGTGACATAAATAAATAAATAAATAAATAAATAAATAAATAAATAAATAAAAAGTTATGAATACAAATAGCGTAAGACCATCTCCCATGCAGACATATTAATATTCCCTCTTCTTTCACAATTTTGTCTTTATTTCTATTAAAAAGTTTAAAGACATTTTTTCTACTTCCCACCACCCTCTTCAGTATATTTCATTCTTTAAAAAGTTGCGGATAATTTGAGGATATTGCACAGTGACTGCGGTTTCTTAGTATCACCTTTTGGAAGAATAGAGGCTCTGCCTGCTGGTGGAGCTGCTTGGGACCTGGGTGTTCACATGGCCCCCAGCAATAAGGGACAGAGGTGTTCAACCCATGAGGCATGTGGGCAGGGGGCACCATAAGCATGGGCCTCACATCTTCCTCCTGTGTTGTCTTGCCCTGCAGGTGCCTTATTAAGTGGCTGGAGGTTCGGAAGGTGTGTCCACTGTGCAACATGCCAGTTCTGCAGCTGGCCCAGCTGCACAGTAAGCAGGACCGTGGACCACCACAGGGGCCCCTGCCTGGGGCAGAGAACATTGTATAGCTCCCCCAAGGATCAAACTGCTGCGGGATCCGATGTCCATGTGGAGTCAGGAGGAACACAAGCGGTCTCTGTGTTGGCTGCTCTACCTGGGGCGCCAGCTGCCACTTCCTTGCCTCATGAAGAACTCGGGCCAGCTAAGCTGGGAACCCAGACTTCTGGGTCTTGTGACAACCAAAGCACGCTGACACTACCCCATGCCAAGAGAAGAGGAGCAGATGATGAATGAGCCTTCAGGTTATGTTCAAGAAATTTCCTGAGGGTCTCTTGCTGATGCCATTACTCTGTCTCCCAGATACTTATCTCCGTATCAAGGTGAATCTTTATCAAGCAGAAGGGAAGATAAACAGAACTGTTAGAGAAGGGAACTGAGAGCAGGTCTTTAAAGCCACCCCCACCCCCCACCTTGTGGACAGATGAGCTTCTATGCAGACCATGCATGCCTTTGCAGCAGCAGACCCTCCTGGCAGGCCCTGAGCCAAGTAAAACCAGCAGTTACCTCAGCTGAAGCACGACTGGTTGCCAGTAATTGGTGAGGCAGTGCCAACAAGGCTTTTCACATTATGTTCCTTTGATAAGGTCATCTTGGAACCCAAGGGCTTTGGTTACCAGAGCAGCAGTGCCCCTCGCCACCCCTTTTCCCTCAAGTTCACAACACTTGCTTATCAAATCATCTAAGAACATTAGATGTGCTCATAAAGGCCTGGTCAGAAGCCATTTCCTCTTATTTACCCCCCTGACTCCCCAGTGAGCCCCGGCCAAGCTGCCCAGGCAAGGTTGGGCCTCTGAGCCCATGCTGTCCCTGTGACCCAGGGGACCTCAGAGTGCCACCCATGCCCCCATGTACACAGCGTGGTTCCAGAGCAGCTGCTAGTCTCAGCCCACTGCCTTGGTAAGGAGCTGCTGTGAGCCCCTCAGAGGGCTCCCAAAGGGAGCTCCTTCCTGAGAATGACTAGTCTTCCCAGCCCTGCTGAGATGGGAGGATGCTGACCCCCTTGCCTCGCCCCCTCCTTCCCTGTTTTCTTCCCTCTTACCCTGTTTCTACTTAAGAGAAAATGCCTGTCGTGACTTTCTAACAATTTAAAGCATCTGAAATAAGATCCTTATGTAATTCTGAAACCAGGGATCCCCTTGAAATTGTAAATAGTGTCAGAAGCTCCTGCAGGGTTCACCCGCTGGTGTGTGCCTCACTATTCAGACTTGGAGAGGAGTAATTGAAAGTATCTTTATAGGAGAGAAACAAACACATGCTGCTCTTTGGCTTTCTGTCCAATGTTTCTAGAGATGACTCCATCTGTTTGGATTTATGAATACTGTACAAATTAGCTATCGGAATGTGGCTTTAGGTCAGCTAGAACGTTCTTTTCCACAGCCCTGCTTTCTACCTCCACCTGTCAAGGGTGGACACCTAGTCAACAGCTTTGCCTCTGCTCCATGCCCCAGGGGTGAGTGGGAATGTCTCATTGGAAATGTGGTCTGCATGGTATGGAGAGATGATGGAAGAAGCTTTGCTATTCTATTCACGGCATGTCTCCAGGGATTTTTCCTGGAATCCGTCTTAGAATGGGAGACGGAACCTGTCCTTGGCTCAGGTGCCTGGGGTCAGAGGAGGAGGAAAATCCCCACGAGCCTAGGAAAGTGCTGGGCAGAATCCAGCTTGGAAAATTACAAATCCAGTTGGTCAGCATTGGCGGTTTCCTCCGTGTGACCTATTCATGGCACGCCAACTGGCTGCTGCTTAAACAGGGCAAAGGAAGTGTGGGTATCTTTATATGAAAGCCTTATAACCTGTTGGGCATCCTTGAAGAGAACCTTTCGTGTGCTACCTTCACCATTTCTGGGTTCTGTGTTGGTAGCACGATGGAGTTGAATTCTGCAAAGCACCCAGTTTACAGTGAAAGGTTTCCAGTGACCAATGTGAGAAATAAGCCTGCTTCTGGAGTAGCCTCATTAGTGGCCAACACCATTTCCCATGGAATGGCCCTGGGACAAATCTCACCTTGTCGTTATGGGGTTCAAACAGTAAAGAGAATTTCTCCCCTCAAAGGAGGAATTCTTATGCTTTAATCTGCAAATGCTTTCACCTCACAGCTTCAGCAGGATTATTACCGATTGGTTGCAGCCTTTTTCTATTCCTGTGCATCAGTATGAGGAGACCGCCCCACAAGTCCCTGAATGTGTAGGGAGGTATGAGGAGTTTGTTTCCCTGTATCCCAGGAAGCCAAAGTTGACATAGTGCGTAGTTCCAGCTGGTCGTTTGAGAAAAGCCGAGAATGCTGTGCACTCTCCACTGGGCACCAACCCCCCTGAGGTTCCATTAACATGACCTCGACACCTGTGAAGGCAGAGGGCTTTTTAAATGCAGCTCTTCCGTCAGGGTGGGGCTGGATGTGGAGTGGTCAGTGTTCCTCTGCTCCTACTCATTGTCCTTTCTGGGCTCTGTGTCTCACTGCAGCATGGCTAGTGCCACTCACAGTAGTTCATGCGACTCTTAAGAACACAACCTGATGCACTCACACCCCACATTGGGTCCTCCTCCAGGACTCTCTGCACTGCCAAAACTGCCAATGGCCAGTGCTTAATTTACATCTTCCTTTTATTCTTTTTTTTTTTTTTTTTTTTTTTTGATTTATTTATTTATGATAGTCACAGAGAGAGAGAGAGAGAGAGAGAGAGAGAGAGAGAGAGAGAGGCAGAGACATAGGCAGAGGGAGAAGCAGGCTCCATGCACCGGGAGCCCGACGTGGGATTCGATCCCGGGTCTCCAGGATCGCGCCCTGAGCCAAAGGCAGGCGCCAAACCGCTGCGCCACCCAGGGATCCCTCTTCCTTTTATTCTGATTAAAACACAGCTTTCTATGGCCAAATTTAAATCTCCATCTGGACATTTTTTTTTAAGAATGAATTAAGGACCCCTTCGTATTCTTGACACAGGCTAACACAGTGAGGCACCCTAGCCACATCGGTCTTTTGTTGGTGACCTTTTAACTGTAGACACATGGGGATTCAGCTGTGCTCTTGGGCCACTGGCTGGTGACATGGCAGTTTTTATACTTTCTCTTAATGTGTCTTAAGCAGCTCAAAGATTGGATGTTACTTGTGTGCTGTGGGTTAAAAGAACCTAACTCAGCCCCAACTGAACTCCATGGGTGGCTGCATCATTACCTAGTTATTGCTAGGGGTACAGATGAACTCAGCTGGCTTCAGAAACAGGGAACAAAACCAGCCTGACTTGATTCCTGAATGAGTAGGCCTAAGATACTGTCCTCTGCCACTTCTCTTTGCCACAGTGTGATTTGGTTGGGCCTGTCCTTAGCCAGCCAGTAAGGTCCTTGTAGCTTGTGCCCACCAAGGTAGGGAACAGGACAAGACAGAAATGGCCAGATGGGAGCAGATGGCCCATGGGGAAGTCTGGGGTGAGGAATACAGGGTACATCCTATCTTTGCCAGATAGCCTGTTCATGATATGTCTTAACAAATGAAGATCCTTTTCCCCAGTGCCCAGTCCCTTGGGCCCATTAGAGGAAGGGTTTGTCCCTTTCCACAGCCCTGCTTCAAAGCCTGTCACCTCCATGGCCTAGTCCTGCTCTAAGCTATTCTGAACAACTGTAGTAATTTTCTGGAAGTCTGAGAATTACAAAATGAACACAGGGAGGTATCCCTAGAGCTCTAGACAGAAAAAGTGCTGAGTGATTTGAATCACCCCATGCCATCCACCAGCTATTTGTCTTTATGTAAGTTAGCCTCTCAAAGCTGGTTTCCTTATCCACACCTAAGAATTTTAATAGCATCTTCGCAGGTTCTTGTGAGGACCAGCCGTGTCCCAAGCCTGGTGGGCAGTAGGCCTGGGGTTGTGAAAGCTCCTTACTATAGGCAACGTCAAGCAGGTCACGTGGGGCTCCTCAGTAGTTCGGGTGGCAACAGAACCTCAGCAGGAGCCTCCTGATGGACACGTGCTCCCCTGGGGTCTGGGTTTGCCTGACTCCCTCCCTTTTCCTCTTGAGATCTTCCCTAGTCACCTCCGTGAACCGTTGCCCATAGTGCTCCCTGAATGCTATTCCTTAAGTTTTTGAATAGGTAATCCCTTCACATAGTTCACAAATCAGTCTTCCTTGCATCTCTGACCTGAAGCCCACTTTATCACCCTTCGAATGCTTTTAGTTTGTTCCATGTAGATCCTTCCAGTGACCACTTGTGCATATACCGGTGAATACACACATGTGCTTGTGTGTACATAATTTTTTTTTAAACTCATGTGGTACCAGACCAGTATATCCAAGGACCATTCCTGTTAATGGGCGAAGAGCCATCCCAGAAGGCAGAGTATCTATAAAAAGTGAGCCCATAACTGGGGGTGTTTTTGCAATCACATTCCTTTTTGAATAAGGCATTATTTTTTATTGATTGCAGCAGATACTGGAATTCTAGTTTCCATACAAAGCAGAAACATCAATCCCTCCCTGGCCCTTACCACACACATGCTCGGATATGTGAGCACAACCAGTTTCCAGACTGGCTTTCTGGTTTGTGACAGGACACTCAAGAGTAGGCTCTGCTCCATTGCTGAGAGCAGCAGTGCAGGCCTCTGGTTCAGGTCCAGCAGCCTTTGCAGGAGCCTGGACAAGCTGCTCCCTGCCACCCCTGCCAAACCCTGAGGAGGTGATGTCCAGCTCCAACTGCCATTTCTTAGGCGAGCTCCTGTGTTTTTGAGGCAGCAGTTTGAGAAACAGCAGCAACTGAAGCCTGATGCAACCTTCTGTTTGGGGGTAGGGGGGAAAGATGTCTCAGATGATGCTAAGCAGGTAGGTGGATGGTCTCCTCGAAATTAACCATAGAACACACTTCAGTGTCCATATTTGAGGTCATGGTTCTGCTACCTTTCCCTCCCCACTCTATATGCACAAAAGAAAATGCTTCCCATAGAATTTTCTCCATTTGACAATAGAAATGACTCCACCAGTCATATCTTCTTTCAAGGAAATAAAAAAAAAAGGTCCATTTTTGCCCCTGCAGGAGATAAAGCTGCTTCCTCCAAGTATTCCTGTGAGAAGGGGCAGGACTCCTGCCTTTTGGTCCTTGCCTACGTCCCTGGCATCCTGCCTTCCCTAGGATTAAAAGTGCAACGTGGGCCCTAATCTGAAACTTGAAAGGAAGTTTATGTGAAATGCCACCCTTCTGTTACTTGAGTATCTCGTCCTAGGTTCAATGGTCTTCCACATTAGCTGTTACGAACTTACGAGATGAACAGGTCTAAATTCTGGTGAAATCTGCAGTTGAAAACTGGAAGTGGTTTTTAGTAGATAAAACGAATGAAAGATCCCACAAGCCATGGAATGTGCTTCCATTTGAGTGGGAGTATTAGGAGAAAAATAGAAATAGAGGGGCTTGTTCAGTGTTCACCTTTATAGCCCAACTTGTTGCAAGATGCAAATAGTTCCACTTTTAAACCAAGCATTGCACCCTTGGCTAACTAATCCAGCACTCACTTTGCAGCTCTCTGGTCAGGGAGGACACCCATCCTGCTCCAGGGACATGGACCTAGCATGTGGTCCCCACCAGTGTCAAGGGACCTGTCTATAGTCTGCTGAAGCTCCCCTCTGCTCCCTGTGCCAGGACAAGCCTGGTGGACCTGTGTCTAGGGCCAGCTGCACCTGGGCCTTCCATGTGCCCCTCCCCTCCCAGACCCTGCTAGAGCAGGTGGGGCCAGTGTTAGGAAGTCCCTCCTGGTGAGGGCCTGGTCTTCCGAAGTGTTCCTGATAACTGTCCTCTCTGCGTTTCTATGACATCATTGCCAGCAAGGGGGGTAGTTTAAGTCCTCTAGTTTAGCCTACTGGGTTTTATTCACTAGATATTATTGTATAATTCCCTCAAAAAAAAAGGTTTATGAAATGCTGAGCCTCAGGTTTCATAGACGTGTTTGTACACTAAGAATTCTGCAGCAGAATATTTTTAAACATTCGCAGTTTTTTGTAAGCTCTATTTTTGTATATTTAATTGCTATTTTAAAATTTTAATGCATTTTTTGCTAATTACTCTTGTTTTTAAAAACAAAACATGCATGTAATTGACTTAAATGTAAATAAAAAGCAGGTTTTGAAAATACTTTGAGTATGTACCCTTCAACTCCGAGGGGCCTGAGGTCATCTACACCCCACTTAAGCCTGTTTATTAGCAAGAGTTGGAAAGTCAAGGTGAAGGTCTCTGATCAAAGTGAGCTGGTCACCAACAACACAGGATTGTGATGAAAGAGTTTGTGGCCTGCACCTCCCATGGGGTGGGGTTGCGGGGTCAAGGGTGAATAGAGCACCAGGTCACAGTGAGGGAGAAAGAGGTCAAGGGCCTACCTGCCACCCTGGCTTCAGCACTGCAGATATGGCTGGACACACTAGTGCTCTAACCAATATGGACCACAGTGCTCAAGGGGGTTGAGGTGGTGGACTAGCCCACATGTTCCCCCTCTAGCTACAGCTCAGGCTCGCAAATACCAAGTATTCTGTTAGAAGAAAACACCTCTTGGACCAAAGCCATCCTGTGGCAGCTGCCATTGCCCCTCACCACCCCTCATTAGGGTCCCTGCAGGTCAGCTTTGACCTAGTAGCCTGGGGGAAAGCGCTCCCCTCAAGGCCATCCCTGGCCCTGCCACAAATCTGGGCCACTTCTTAAACCCCCTCTGGATGCAGGTGCCTGGAGAACAACTCTTCTCCAGCAGCCGGGGCTGCAGACCCTGCCAGCCCCTTCTCGGACCACTTTCTCTGCAGCCTTTTCCTTCTCTGCCCATCTTGTAACTGTTACTCTCACTCTACCTTCATGCTCACTAGAGTCCCATCTAGATACACATCATTCTCAGGTCTGAAATCTCAAATTCCAAATATCCAGCTGCCTTTCTGTATCAGAATCATGGTCCAAAACCAAGCCTCCCCAACCAAGCCTGGGTGCCCTCCCAGACTCCCTCATCCTAGCCAATCCCCACGTCCCAGCACTCAGCCCTCTGCGCCGTCTCTTGCCCCAGTCTTGGTTCAGGCCGCCCCTCACACATGGAAGGGGACCCTTGGACTACCTCAAGGGCAGACTGGGAGGAAGGAGCGCTGCTGGAAGGGGCAGTGGTGCCTGGAGAGAGCAGTTTGTTTACAAGCATCTCACAAGCCAGACGTAGTGAAGTGGCAGTAAACTGGGATCAGGCTCAGGGAAGAGAATGTACAGAGAAGGCCTTGGAACACTCAGTGGTGGAGGGGAAGGCAGTCCCTGCCTGGGGCCACAGCTCAGAGGCACGGGCTGGGAGGGGCCGCCACCTTGACGACTGCTTGGGGAGGTCCGCCACTGCGCCTGTGTCCTCTGAGGAGCAGCCGCTGGCACAGCGCAGGCAGCAGCGGCCCAGGAGGCAGAGGGAACCGCGAGCGGGGCCGCTGTGTGAGAACCGAGGGCACGGAAGGCTTAGAGGCCACTCACTGGGCACACAGGAGGCGGCTGAGCACAGAATGCGGCGAAGTCAGGGAGGCAGCTTCTCAGGGGCAGGAAGGGTGGGTGCGCGGAAGTGGAAGGAAGGTCAGCGCTGTGCAGGAGGCGGGCTCCGCCTGCCCGAGCTGTGTGACCTCGGGGTTAACACAGGCTACAGGGAGGCCAGCCGTGTGAAGCTCTGGCTGCTCAAAGCCTCGTGAGCACAGCCCGGGGTGCGGGGGCCAGGGCTCCTAGGAAGCGGGCTCCCTCCCTCCCTCCACTACCTTCTCTGTGCATCGGTGAGTAGGCAGTGACACTCTCTTTGGAGTCTGCGCAGAATGTGGGGCCTCCAAACAAGCATCTGAGGGCTGAGGGACAGGATTAGAGGGGTCTCTGGCTGAGGACCCCAAGCCCCACAGGGGTGGCAGCAGCAGAGAAGCCAATCACCACCCGGAGGCCACAAGTCCCATCCCCGCAGGGTCCCCCCAGTTCTGCTGCCCGTGCCAGGCTGGCAGCACCAACAACCCACAGATGCCCAAGTGCGTGAAGGGGCGCCCCTGGGAAGCTGCTGCCCACAGGTGGCACATGCCTCTGCTGCCCCCATGTGGCCAACACAGGAGGTGCCAAGGGATCCAACCCTCCTCCCTTAGCGACCAGGTCTGGCCCTTGGGTGGCCCTAGGCCCTGGACCCTTCCCTTCTGACCCTTGGAACCTTCTCTCCAGATCTCCCTCCCTCAGGCACAAAGAGGCTGTAGAGCCTTGAGGCTTCTTTCTAGTTCAAAGGGTGTTTTATACAGACCCTTTGTTACCTTCAACAGCGATGCAGGCACAAAAATACACAGAAGACTCAAACGTTGCTCTATCTCCAAGGGGAAGGGTTTTTTAAATTATTCTGCACAGCAGAAAGAAAACATTCCAAGTCAATCTCTACCAAGACTCCATCTTAAAACCTGACTCTCCTCAAGCGGCCTTTCGAGCCTACATGTGCAGCCCTACCGAGCCAGCCTGCCTGGCAACTTCTGGCAAGTAAAGACCCCAAGTGGGAGGGGAAGGGGCAAGTCTTCGCCCTACCCCCCACAAGTGAATCAATGGACTTCAATTCCTCACTTTCTACCAGCCTGAAACAACCAAATTCTCCCTGGTTCCCTGAAAAGACGGCATTTCAAGTGGCCCCTTTTGTCTGGTTTAGTCTCCAGGTGTGCTTTTTCTACTAGCTTACACTCACTTCTGACAAAATGACCTCCACCCCACCCCCCCCCGCCGTCCCCCAGGAAATTCTGCCTAGGGTAGACGAAGCCCCATCTTTCCAAACAGACCTCCCCAGGATGTGCAGTGTGGAGAGGAACCTGGAACTGCCTTTCCAAAAGTTGCTTAATTGCCAAAGTTTCAAATACAGAATTACTCTGCCCAATCAAGTTCACAGAACCTTGAAATAAAACATGTTTTTCAGTATGTTCACACAAAGGCTAAATATAAATAGCACACCAGAGTTAATGCACAGATGATGATCTCCAAGGCCATATTAACATTGTGATTAGATTACAACATGTAGTGCCTGCCTTACATCTAGCAAGTTCGACAGGACACAAAAACCGCAGTCAGCTGAACACAGAACAGCCCACCCCTGAAGTGGCTCCAGTAAGGACACTGAATTTCACAAATATGTGGCAGGTGTAACAAAGCTATACTGAAGAGCAACTTCAACACAGCAGATCCTCACTGCCACAGTGGTCCACTTTTTTTGTATCTTTCCTTACTGGGTTACTAGTTTAGGCTGAATTTTTAAGGATTTATCTTCATGACTTAGAAAAATACACTTGTCCTTTCTTGCTTTGATTCGGGTAGTACACAATCACAAAATTGAGTAAGTCTCTTAAAAAACAAAAAGTTCACAGATCCCATTGTGGAATGTTCCAGGAACCCCTCCCCGGGTAACGATCAGGGGATCTTCAACAGCTCAAGGAGTGCTCCAACGGCTCCAAAATAACCCTGGAAAAAAAGTACACCAAAAATGAGAGCAATTTTCCTTTGACTTACTTATATTACCATAAATATGATTACTAGTATTAAAGCCAACAGTGCCCTTAATTCCTGACACTGGTTCCTTGAGCACCCATTTTGCTGAGCCCAAGGCCAGCCTGGGAGCAGAGCAGCTTTGAGGAGCTCCCAGGTTGGGGAGGAAGACTGGATGTACAGGACACCCACCCTAGCATGCCAGCCTGTGAGACCAAGGCCCATGGGGGGGCTGCAGGAGCTCTGGGGCCCGCACTGGCCCAGTTACCTCTGTGAGCGCCAACTGAGCGGTCTCTCCTGCAGGAATAGGATGGGAGAAGCTGCAGAAGCCTGGTGCATTTCCAGACAACTAAGGACTGAAGGGAGGATGGGACATGAAGTGCAGCAAAGCAGAAGAGCTGGGGTGGTGGGGGTGTGCTGGTAACTGTGGGGGAGGGGGAGCTGACAGGGCTGGGGATGGAAGGGAGACCACGAAGAGGGGGAGGTGGATTCAAGACCTGCCTAAAGACGGGGAAGAAGGCAGCAGGGAGGTTTAGGTCTCTCCCATGCATCCAGTGACAGTGCCCCTGAGAACAAACGAGGACACGGGAGCAAGAAATGCAGTTAACAAGGAGGGGTTCCATCTGGCCTGGGCAAGGCCGAAGGGCCCCAGGTGGCCTAACAGCCACACCCAGGAAGTAACTGGATGTCTGGATCTGGAACAAGACCGTGGGCAGGGCAGCACTGGTAGGAACAGGCAGTGGAGGCATGGACAAGAGTGCCCTGATGCGACACTTGGTGGGGGGCACAGATGGGAAAGCACCATCTGCAGAACAACAGAGGAGCCAGCAGGGAGGGTGGAGGCATGGCTGGAGGAGGACAAGGCTGGACCATCGCCAGAAAGACTCAAAGTCAAATACAATCAAGAACCAAGACATTAAAACCCAGAATTAGAAAGAAAAAGAACTGAATGTAACAAAATATGAGATAAAACCCACGCTGGCAGGAAGGGCAGGGCGGCAGGAATCAGAGCAGAGAGTAATCCTCTGATGGTCCAGAATCCATCAAGGTCTCCAATGGATGATCAGACAGCCAAGCACTTTCAGGAAGAGAGAAAGGACTGAAAAAGGAAAGTGGGAAGGAAGATCCTGAAAGGCCTGCTCGCAGACTGAGAAGGATGAGCTAAGAGGCTAAATATCAGAAGCAACAAAGACACCAGTCCAGTTTCCCAAAGAAAGCTACTCCAAGAAACTTGTGGCCAAACACAAGAACAGCTGAAGCTGAAGCCTCTCCTCTCCCTGTTTCCTGGCTTAAAAACAGGCAGCCACAAACCATGTGTAATGAGACTCGGCCCACAACCCCACAGGCCACCCGGCTGAGCAGGAGGAAGGGACAATGAGGGACCCCACCACCACCAGAGGACAGACTCACGGCTTTGTTTTCAGTGGCTTGCTTTATATATATATATATATATATATATATATATATATATATATATATATATAATCTTATATATAAGATTTTATTTATTTATTCACAAGAGACACACACAGAGAGAGAGAGAGAGAGAGAGAGGCAGAGACAAACAGAGGGAGAGGCAGGCTCCCAGCAGGGAGCCCAATGCGGGGAATCCATCACGCCCTGAGCCGAAGGCAGATGCTCAACCACTGAACCACCCAGGCATCCCTTTCAGTGGCTTTCTGTAGCTTCTATTTTACAACAACAAAAGATGAAGTTAACCATTATAGTGAGCTCCCCTGAAGACCAGGACCCAGCAAGAAGCAGAAGCTAGTCAGCTGTTACAAGCTGCCAAATGCTAAGCTGAGAACAGTACAGAAGGCTGACAGGAACCCAGACAAAGCTCTCACAGTAGTTAAACTGACTTCAGTGTGCGAACAGTTCTCAAGACCTCAAGATGCAGAGAGCCTAAAATATCAACGTTTTCCCTTAGCACAGTTGTCGACACCAGAGTCCAAGGCCTGGACACCACGGGAGGAGAGGCGGCAGGGCTGTGTCAGAGCCAGGGAGGAAAATGAAGTCAGCAGGCAGGAAGGAAGATAACACGTCAAACTGAGGTTCCAGAAGGTGTTCAAACTTATGGTGTGAAGATTTAAAAAAAGACAAGTTAACCTAAGAAATGAATCCACGTTCCACCTACCAAACGGTTTTCAAGAGGCAGAAATGGAGGAGGAAAGTTCTACTATGATGTGAGATTAAAGAGAGTTTCTTTTTATTCTAATGTAAATCAAAATAAAAGATCAAAGATCACAAAAAGATACATATAAAAGGTATACGCAACTTAATGATAATTTGGTACCAATTTATTAATAACATTAAAAGTAAAAAAATGTTTAAGGGTACAAACTCACAAGTGGTAAAGAAGCTGGAGAGACCTGATGCCCAGCACCCCCACAGCAGCAGCGCACTGATCTCAGGCTGAGCTGCACGTGTGGCGGCACATAGTGCGTCACAGTAACACATACCCCTTCAACTTACACAATGCTACGTGGCAGATTCATTCAATTAAAAACTTTAATAAAACACAGTTAAAAATTAGATGACTCAACATGAAGCTTTTGAAAAGGGGTATTTGTGCACTTTGAATTTTAACTCTGAATTGAAGCCACTTAAAAAGGAAAAAGAGCAATTTTATAGGGAAAAGCAACCTTGGTGGCAGTTCAGATTTTTTTTTTTTTTTAAGATTTTATTTATTTATTCATAGAGACAGAGAGAGAGGCAGAGGGAGAAGCAGGCTCCATGCAGGTCCCCAGGATCACACCCCAGGCTGCAGGCGGCGCCAAACCGCTGCGCCACCGGGGCGGCTCATGGCACTTCAGATCTTATTGTCAGTTCACGTAACTACTGGTAAAGTGAACGTGCATTAACAATTCTGAAGACTTCATGAGAACACTATTTAAAATCCAACAACACTGGAAAGAAACCATTCCACAGCCCCACCGCCAAGGGGACAGAAGAAAGGTCCCGCGCCCCAGCTAGGGTTCTATTTTTTCAGCCGAGCTGGAAAAACAGAAGGGCACCTTCCCACAGATGATACCAGGTTCAGTGATTCAATGATTCTCTTCCATTTTGTCATTTCTAGCTGGTCTAGGTGTTAAGTGCGGTTCTAACCTTGGAATATATTTTGGTTTGTTTTTAGAACATGCATTTTAAATAAATGGCACAGGAACTCTACCAATACGCAAAAACTGACATCAAAATGAAAAAAGCAGAACCCAGAGTAAATGCATTTACAAAATAAGCATAACGGGAAAAAATATAAAGAGAGTTCAGAAAAGAACATAACATTTAAGATATAAGTGTTCCTCAAGCTTTCTTTGAAACTGCTGAAGCTCACAATTAAATTAACCAAAAATTTCCCTTGCATTAAATCAGGTAAAAAATGGCTTTTGAATATTACAATCAAGGTTAAACCCTATATCATACTTTTACAAAAAACAAAAACAAAAACAAAAAAACTGAAGTCTATTTCACGTTTACTTCAAGTTCCAAAACAGTGGGAACTGCATGCCCTGCACGTTAGTAACATATCCCAGGAAGTAAGTCTGCTTACCTCGTGTTCCGAAAAAAGTGCTTTCAACTGCCCCTTGGACCAATAATCCAAAGCATATGCCAAAAGTCGCATGGCGATCGTATTAATTCTCAAGAAATTTCCAACAAATACCACCTGGTTAATGTTCTGAGCACATCAAAAAAAGGCAATTAGTTTTCATCTTAACTTCTGTTCTCTTGTAAAAGCTACCCCAAAACAGAGCACCATGTGCATGGTCTTCAGCAGCAATTTGCTGAACAAAAAATAAAAAAGTATTTACTTTTAATCCATTTAGTCCCAGGCTACTTAAATTTGAACCCAGACAACTCTGGACCCACTTCAAACCATGCCAGAAAATGTCACAAGAGAAAACAAATTAGGAAAACCATTTGTATTAAATATGACAAATAACTGCTATTAATGTTTTATACAGAAAAGTAAAAAAAAAAAAAAAGACCCCAATTCAAAGAAGTGACAAAAATATGCAAATTGTACAAGAAATACAATGGGAAAAAATTCAATCTCACCAGTAATCCAAAAAAGGAGCATCTTAAACCTATTAAAAGTTAGCAGAACAACTAACTGAAATTTCACCCCAACAATGAGCCCAATTGTGGTAATTGATCCACTCATTCAGTGCTGAAGAGATCTGAATTAGTACAGCCCTTGTGCAAAGTGCCTTGGCAATACCTACCAAAACTCTTAAGTATGGTCATATTCTTTAGAGACTCTCATCTCACTCCAGAGTTATAAGTTCCTTATCAGGAATAAAATTCAACCAAAGAAAAGCTTCACACTTAAAAATGCCTTCCTGCAGAGCGATCACTGGCAAGCAACCAAATGCCCAGCTCTATGTGAATGATGATACAAAAACAAATCAAATATACAGCAGTGAAATTTTAAGTAAAAAATATAAAATGGTATGTACACCCACACAACTAACAGATCTTAGAATATATAAGTACAGGAAAAGGAACATGCAATAAAGGAAACAGTAACTTTAACATATTCAAATGAAGAATGCTTTTAATTACTTAATGCTGATACAGTTATCTTTTTAATTAAAAAATGAGACAATCCTTTTGTACCTTTCAAAGCCTCCTTAAACCGCATGCCTACATAATCAAACAGAGTATTTTGAACAAAATTGTGTAAATAAGGACAAGTTGTAAAGCTGCACCTCTGGACCCCCCAGGGAAGGCCATTCTCGGTTCTTTCATAGCCCTGTACAATGCTGCTTGACCTGAATGCTACAAGGCAGCACTGTAAAGAAGCTGAAAGCACAAAGACAGCTCTGCAGCAGTGGATGGGCACTCCTCGGCTGCCCAGTCTTCTCCAGCTTCAGCGACTTCCTCCAGGTGCCTTCCCAGGGACTCCAAGGCTCTATGTGGAGCATGGGACCTCAATCTGACATGGCTAGCCATCATCGCTACCCACAGTCCCCTTCACCCGAAGTTCTGCCTTCCTACCTTCCTACTTTCTCCTCAAAAGATGTACTTTTACTTCTAGACAGTGGCAATATTTATCTTCACTGAGAAAAAAAAAAATCAGTGAAGTTTAGTCTACATTTGAAGAGCTTTAACTTCGCCAATGAAACAACTCCACCCCATACAACTACACTTAGGCACTGTCCGGATAAGACAGACGTTGTACACAAGGTGACGCCTGCTTAGTAAGTTCTGCATTTTCCTCAGAGCATCTAAAGAAATCCATGTCCCCTTACTTCATTAAGGGCACACATTCTTGCTATTGAGCCAATGTTGTTGGTGATGGTGATCAACGTTGCTCTGGCGAGGTCCTCTTTACTGACTGCCTCTCGCTTCTCCTTGCTCATCATGTTTCCAAAGCTGTGAAGGGAAAAAATATATATATATCCACCTGCTGAATCAAAGGCAACACAGCCCAACAGAACTTGAATATTAACTCTACTAAGATAAATGTGACTTCTAGGGCTACATTGTTCAAATCTTCAAACTTTTTATTACAAAATAACAGAGCATCTGCTCAAAGAGTAATGCAAAAGCCCTCCAGTGTTGTGAATAAGCAAATGCCTTTCCCTCACAGATTCCAATAAAATCTAGCTTTGTTAACAGATCTTTGCACATCTAGTTAGGATCTGATCAGATCCACACTAAGGCACCATGGCTCCTTCTGCAGTCAGGGACAGTTCCAGGAATTAGCAATTCATTCCCAAATGCACAGCCATCTTGCTTAGCTGAATGGTCACATTTACTCTGGAAAACTGCTTCATCAGAGCAATACAAAAGCAGACAGTAAAGTACCAGAGTAAACTCCTTAAGAATTTCATATTTCCCTGGAAGATAAAGTACTTCAAAGTACTTTACCAGCAGAATTGCTACATTAATAACTGTGAGCAGAACACAAACCCAATCAGAAACCAAAGTGAACAATATGCAAATGCCAAAAATCAGAACATAACATCGACAGCATTTACAAAGTCGCTGGAATTGGTCCACAAGCATGCTATGTATGCTCCTTTTCTATAATTAAAAATCACATTTCAATACAAAGAAAACAACTCTTTTTCTAAACAATCTAGAAATGAAATTTAAAAAACAGTTCCTGGGGCATCTGGGTGGCTCAGTCAGTTGAGCATCTGATGCCTTTGGCTCAGGTCATGATCTCAGGGTGCTGGGATCCATCAAGCCTCTGGTCAGGCTCCCTCCTCAGCAGAGAATCTGCTTCTCCCTCTGCCCACCCCTTGCTTATCTCTCTCAAATGAATTTTTTAAATCTTAAAAAGTAATTTAAAAATTAAAAATCATTTTATTTACAATGGCATTAAAGAGAATAAAATACTTAGAAATATATTTAACAAAAGTAGTATAACAACTGCACTGAAAATCACAGCTATAAAACATCAGTGAAAAAAAAGTGAAATTCTAAATAAATGGAAAAACACTTTATCTTAGATCAGAAGACTTGATTAAGGTTAAGATGGCAATAACTACCCAACGTAAGCTACATATTCAGTACAACCCTATCAAAATCCCAGCTGCCTTTTTTGCAACCACTGACAAGGTGATCCTAAAATTCACCCAGAGATTCAAAGTATTGATTCATGCCACCATATAGGTAAACCCTGAAAACATGCTAAGTGGAAAGAAGCCAGTCACAAAAATCGCGTATTATAGGACACAATTTATATGAAGTGTCCAGAATAGGCAAATCTATAAAGACAGAAAATATATTAATGTTTACCAAGGACTGAGGTGGGGAAATGTGGAGTGACAGGTAATGGACAGAAGGTTTCTTTCTGGGATGATGAAAATGTTCTGAAATTAGATTATGGTGATGACTGCACAATTTGGTAAATATACTAGAAACCACTAAATTTTACACTTTACACAGGTGACTGTAGAGTATGTAAACTATAACTCAATAAACGCTGTTTAAAAGAAAAAAGATACACCCAATATTTAGTATCTTATTCCTGTCTTTCTTAGAACACACACACCCCCTTACCTTGATGCCACAGCCCAGCCCGGCAGTCCAAACCTCTCATAGTCCCCTCCATAAATGTCTCGAACTAGTTTATCCACTTTGGTGCTATCTCCACGAGATGCCATTTCAAGAGCTTCTTCAAAAGTGGTACAGCCCGTAAGAAGACAGCAGAGACCAAAAAAAGTTCCTCCTCCAAGACTGATTAAAAACAAACAACACAGTATTTTAACATTTTAAAAATAAGAACAGGAAGGTAGTATTTATGAGCCCAAAACCACGTTTATACATCAACCCACTCTTGTCCCAACCTAATCGCGCAGATGCCACTGGCAGGCAAGTCTGTGGAAAGATAAAAAACAAGTTGCCTGTCACATACCTTGAGGTTACATATTCACGTGAGCCAACAAACGAAATAGCAAAACACAGGGCCCACATCTCTGCCCACATCCCCACCCACATCCCCAGGGCAGTCTGAGCATCTGCTGAGTGTGAGCAGCTTCGGGAGCAGGTCCACCCACCATACCCAGGCCATGCTAGCACCTCCCTTCCTTTGTCTCTCCAAAGCCCTGGTCACCCTGGCTTATCAACCCCCCACTTCACAAAGAATTCCTCCCTTAATGCGTTTTCTCCCCCAAAATTACTCATCTCATTTTTTAATTCACACCTGTTAAAAAAAAAAAAAAACTGGTCTATCCCAATCCCCAGCTCCTTGTTTTGCTTCAAATGATTCCTAATCCTTAAACTGCAACATATTCTTTTTTGCCTGCCACTTTTCTGCCACTTCTCTTCCCCTTTCAGCCTGCCCAATTATTTATCTGTTGCTGAGTACCTCACCTTCTAGATCTCAAACCATCCCGTGGATGGGCGGGTTATGTGTGCACATGTGTACCTGTATGTATAAAATCTAGGCCAGTTTCAAAGCTGGGTCTTGCCTCAACTTCTTATAAATGCTACCTAGTAGCTTTGGCAACTTTACAATATGTGCACACAATACACTGACTGAGGACAGGGACTTTGGGCTCAAGCAGTCTGTCAATGAGATATTTTATGGAACTATAATAATGAAATCCTAAGCAATACAGATTTTTTAAAAGTAGGTCTTGATGTGAGAATTTTCAAAGAGAAACTGCATTTGCTTGCATAATCCCAGAAAAAATTTTTGACTTAATTTTAACAGATTCTTAAAAGCATATGGATACACAATACCTGAAAATTCACTTGTAACCCATTATGATATCAAGAATAAACAATAACCTTTACATAAAAGACCTACCTGGTACCCGTGACCCGCTTGTAATTATCTTTGGAATATACTGCTAAAATGCTAACCCCAGAGCCAATGTTCACCAGAAGCAGAGGGTATGGATTTTTCAAATCAAATGGTAACTTCTGACATTTTTCAGCATCAGCAGGGTTTTCAAAGTAATAGCACTGTGACCGTCCATTGAATCCAACGGAGTCAATGTATAAAATTCCTTTTACTAAACAATCTAGTTCATCAAGTTTGCAAAGCTGAAGGTCACCTATCTGTAAAGAAATAAAAATGTATTCAGACTTTTTAACAAGCCAAACAAATAGAAACTGCTTAATAAGACATCTCTCCACATTAAATAAAACCACAGAAGTGCTCACAGATGTGGATTTATAACACAATTCACAGAACAGACCTGGAGACAACAAACATCAGGATGGACTGACGAGACAGACCCAAATCCACCCCCACCCCACCCCCAGCAAACCACCACAGCAGCGGAGATGCATGCGCAAACCCAAGCAGAGAAAGAGAGGTCTCACAAGGAACGTTGAGTCAGGAGCACAAGGGAGATCACAGCCCTGTAAGAAAGCCCACTCCAAGAAATTCAAGTGACTCAAACACCTGGTGACACACAGCAGGAACCACAAGGACTCTGATATCTGCCTTCCGAAAGACCATCATCTTAAAGGTTATGGAGCAGTACCAAAGTAGGCCCCACTTTATTATCAAACAGACATCAAAGGGCTGAAAAGTGTCCAAATGGAAGACAAGATTTTTTTACTCTCTAAACCAATTACAACCCCCGAAGGATGAAAAGATTTTAGCAGTATAAAAATTTAAAACTGTTATCAACTTAATCCCATTTAAATAAAAGAATGATTATTCTTCATAATAGGGAGCACTGTAAAGCAATTAAGAGTGAAGAGGATCTTCAATCAATTAAGAATGAAGTGGAAAGAATCCCAAGACATGTTATCAAAAAAACAAGTTGAGAAACATTTCATAAGGATGATACCTGCCTGTTTTTATTTTTTTTTAAGATTGATTTATTTATTTATGATAGAGAGAGAGAGAGAGAGAGGCAGAGACACAGGAGGAGGGAGAAGCAAGCTCATGCCGGGAGCCCGACATGGGACTCGATCCCGGAACTCCAGGATCGCATCGCGCCCTGGGCCAAAGGCAGGCGCTAAACCACTGAGCCACCCAGGGATCCCCACCTGCCTGCTTTTAAAGCCAAGTTTATACACAAGTGTATGTGTCATACACAGTCATGCAAAGAAAACTAGAGACATATAAAGTTCTAACAATGGTGACTCTGGAGAGACAGCATAAAGAACACCCCCACATCACTCCCTGAACTTCCAACCCACGTGACAGATTACGAGCACAAATGCTCCATACACATGACAAAGGTAAAACTGCTTCAACCCACTTAAGGCACCTGTTTCTGTTTACAATCAGGTCTAGCCCTGCAAATTTCCCCCCTTTAATTCTACTCACTTGTCAATTTCTTCAGCTCCACAGCAGAGAGGGAAGTTAACAAATACCTTCATCTTAATCCTTAATTAATCCCTAAGTGAGAATATTAAATTACGCCTCTGACCAAACCCAAGCTCCTGGAGTGTTCATCACCATTCCTACTATACCTGCTCATGCCCTCCCTGCTGTCATGAATTCAAAACCAGCCTCCTGACACATGAATCTCAAGTGCCAGCATTTCCATTTCTAGCTTTTCATTTCATCACTTTTCACTGGTAGTCTGGAGCCCAAGTAGATGGTCTCCTTTGTCTTCCTATAATTTCCTCCTTTTCCTTCCTATAATCCCTGTCATCCTGAAATGTCCTAATTCCTAATGAATCCCCATCTCTAAATGAAACAGATGACTGAATACACAGCTGATTTCACTAACACAAGGTACTGATAATGTATGAGCTACACCAACAAGCACACCCAAGTATGCTAGGAAATCTGATTCACATTAAAAAAGCAACAGGGTAAACTCAATATTTTAAAAAATATTTCACTGTGGTTTACTAAACACGAGTCACTACTAATACACAAATAGCATTCGAAGGACATTTCACTTTCCTACATTTTTCAAGGACAAAAATGGTGCATATAAAAGGGAAACTCCCACAGCCTAAGAACAAATTCCCCAGGTCTAAAACCCACTTTGCACCCTCCCCTTGAATTACCACACAATGCTGAACCTCTGGGAAAGCTGAATGGTTTGCAAATATGTTCCAAAGGGCATAAAGGGCATCTCCATTAGGATCCAGGGCCCATGGCAGCCTGGGTGGCTCAGCGATTTAGCGCCTGCCTTTCAGCCCAGGGCATGATCCTGGAGTCCCGGGACTGAGTCCCACATCAGGCTCCCTGCACGGAGTGAGTGAGTGAGTGAGTGGTTGAGTAAGTAAGTAAGTAAGTAAGTAAGTAAGTAAGTAAGTAAATAAATAAATAAATAAATCTAAAAAAATAAAATTAAAAAAAAAAGGATCCAGGGCCCACTATGAGGCTTCCACAAAGGAGGGAACCATCTCTCCTCCAGCTACACTTCCCTTTTACTCAGGGGTAGAAGAGAAACCACTGAAAACCAACCACCAAAAGAAATTCAAGCAGAGAACATAGAAACTTATTAAAAAGAAATTCATGTCAATTCTGTATTATGGTCACTGATAAGAGAAAGACAGGAGACAGAAGACCAAGAAAGAGGACAAAGTCACAAACCATACACAGAAAAAAAAAGGAAAGAATGACAGAGGCAAAGGGAGAACCTCTGGAATCACATTCTCATTAGTGGCATTAAAAACATGGTCACTGAAGATATTTTCAATCTATAATGAACCCTGAAGGTCCAGGTCTTGGCCAACCCACTGACCTACTCTCCCACCGACTCTACCCCCACATCCACCTCAAAGGACATAGCCTCAAGACCTTGCACAGTGTTCACTAAATGAAAAAATCAGATACCCACTGGCATCCCCAGGGTCCACACATGATTCAGAGACTCCTATGACAAGAGCACAATACGCATCAGAAGGCATCTGGAGAGAGGAGGCTCCTCTGTCAACTATTTCCAACAAGCCCTAAGACCAAAATGCCACTCCTGTGGACCAGTTCTTTGTTTTTTTGTTTTTTTTTTTTAATAGTAAACCTGCCAAGAAATAATTGAGGGGGACAGAAGAAATTATGTAATAGACAAGACTGGAAACAATTTTATGACATGAAATGACATTTCAAAAATTATTTTTTTTAATTTTTTTATTATCTTTTTAAGTAGGCTCCACACCTAAAGGGGAGCTTGAATTCATGACCCTGAGATCAAGAGTCACATGTTCCACTGACTGAGCAAGCCAACTGCCCCCAAATTATCTTTCAATGTCATTGTTGAAGACTTTTTTTTTAATAGTGATCTCTACACCCAACATGGGATGGAGCTCAAACTCACAACCCCAGGATCAAGAGTCACACGTTCTCCCAACTGACCAGCCATGTGCCCTCATCATTCAAGACTGAATGACATGTTCCTCATTAAGTAGTTCTTTGGTCTGCTTATCAAAGCTCTGCTACTTTTCCACATTGGAAGAACAAAATGCTATGCTTTCACTGCTGCTGATTCTCAACTTAGCTGAATCAGGCAAAAAATAAACTCCACAACAAGCTCTAGATGGCTAACCCCTGGCTACCACTCCTCTAGCTAATCTTAATCTGACTTAAGAAAATTCAAGTTCCATTAGAAACAGAAATGATTCCACCATTTGCTATTGGTATTATTTTTTTTTTCTATTGGTATTATTTTTAACAATCACATTATGCCTGGGTGGCTCAGTTGGTTGAGCACCCGGCTCTTGGTTTTCACTTGGGTCATGATCTCATGGGTCACAGGTCGTGGGATCAAGCCCCAAGTCAGGCTCCATGCTCAGCAGGGAGTCTGCTTAAAGATTCTCTTCTCCTTTCTCCCTCTGCCCCTCCCCTGCACATGCTCATACACACACTTGCTCTTTCAAATAAATAGGTAAATCTTTTTTAAAAAAAATCAGATTACCATAAACTGTATATAAGCTGCAAAATACATACTGTGAGAAAATCCTGCTCAAATTTGTATGCTCCACCTCCAGTGGCACAAAAGACAGTGTGGAGACTTGAGAAGTTTTTATCTCTGCCCATCTGAATAAAAGCAGGCATGTCATGAGTGGGAAAGCGTATAAAGTGCAGATTGCCCTTGCGTCCACACAGAGTCAGGTCCTTCAGTTCCAGGTGCACATCCCGAATACCTGTGGACCCATAAGCCACATTGGAGGTCAGGTACTTCCGAATGCTTTTAAGACTTTCCACCTCTTCCTCCTCTTCTTCAGCAGTGATGTCTTTGGGTTCAAAATAAACCAGCTTGACCAGGGTTCCACCAATATCCAAGCCAAACCATGGAAAAACTAAATGGAGAAAAAAAAAAGAACTTTTTTTCTGAAAACTAAACATAAATGTACTAGATTAGCAAGTTATTCATACCTTGAGGTTTCCAAGAACTATAAATATAAAAAGGGATTTGGGAAAAGAAATAGGATTCTGATTTGGAAACACATCTTAAAAAAAAAAAAAAAACACAACGATCAGGAAAAAAAAAAATCAGAATATTGCGCCAATCAACCCTCTTGTACAAATAAGCCTAAACTAAACTATGAAATATTTAAAAATAACAAAATGACTACCTATGAACCTCAACTCTGGGGGAGTTGAGAATGAAAATCTACATCCTTTCCCTTGGCTTAAAGAAGAAATGTTAAAACTTTTCAGAGCTCCAGTTTATTTTTTTAATTTTTTTTAAGATTTATTTATTTATTCATGAGACACAAGACTGAGAGAGAGAGGCAGAGGGAGAAGCAGGCTCCTCGCAGGGAGCCCAACGTGGGATTCGATCCTGGATCCCAGGATCACGACCAAAGGCAGGTGCCCAACCACTGAGCCACCCAGGTGTCCCAGAGCTCCAGTGTAATAAGCAAACTGGGGTAGAGGAAATTCCCACATAACACGTAAGCTCCAATGGTCAATTTGTCTCCTGAAACTTGATGTCCCCAAAATAAAAGGTTTCAATGGGATAGGCGTTTCAGAGTTATAGGTGTTCCCAAAAAATCCTTTCCCAAAAATGGCTTCGGGAGATCAGATCAAGGTGGACTGCACAGACATGCATGCCTTGGCTCCCAGCTTAGACCATAGAAATTCTAAAGATAGAGCTTTACTGATATATTATTTTCCAAAATAGTTCTGAGAAACAAGAAATGATACAATCAGCAGAACTAAGTTGATAGAGGCAGTAACTGTCCAGAACCATCAAAAGAGGAATGCTTTAAAAACTGGGAGCAGCTATGAACATTCAGAACGCATAGGGGTGCTCCACCAACGTGTACATAGGGGTGGCTGCCATAGGGAAACAGGGGCAGGCTCTGTGGTCATGGGTGATCTGGTGGGGAATGCATCTGGCACAACTAGACAGACCAACCACTTCCCCATCTCCACCCTCTCTGCTCTTTGCACCCCACCCCCACCCCGCCAGGCAAAGTCTTCAATAAACACAGGCACTTAAGCCAAAAACTCAGAATGGCACCCAAGTAGCTACTATCACTAAGAAATGAGGAGCCCCTATATCTAGCCATATATCCGTACAATCCATCCTGAGAGACAGGTAAAGAGACATTGCATCTACTGACAGAACAGCAATCCTCAAAATAGAGATGATCACTTTACAAATTAGGATCACCAAAAGGAAATCTATAACACAAAAATGAGAAACTAAACATCTGAAGAAAGAATTGCAGGAACAAACAGTAGACTTAAAAATAATCATCAATATCTTCAGAGATAAAATGAGATCTGATCCATGAAAAATGAATAAGCTACCACAAGGAAAAGTCAGAAATTAAGAAATGTTGGTCACCTGTGGCTGTGACTGCAAGAATCTACATGTGATAAAATTATACAGAACTAAATATGCATACACAAAACTGATGAAATCTAAGTAAAATCTGTGAACTGTATCAATGTTAACTTCTCAGTTGGGGGGAGGGAAGTGAAGCTTTCCAAAGCAAAAAAAAAAAAAAAAAAAAGAAAAAGGACAAACTACTATATACTTAACAGATGAATCACAAAAACAGGGTAAGTAAAAGAAGCCTTGCACAAAAGGCTACACACCATATGACTGAATTTACATGAAATTCTAGGAAACACAAAAGCAATCATTTATGCATTTGATAGGAAGTAGATCTTGGCTAGGGGAGGAAGGGAGGGAGGGACTGTACAGGTACAGAAGAAAACACTGCAGTGCCCAAATCTTGACTGTTGGAAAGATTTGAGGGGAAAGCTTCACGGGTATATACAATCTGTCAAAATGTATGGAACTGTACACTTTAAATGGGTACAGCTACTTGTGTGTAAATTATATCTCAATAAAGAGTTTTATAAAAGAGAAAAAAAGGAACAAATCTATTTCCAAAATAAAACTCAACAGATATATTTAACAGCAAAATGGGCACAGAAAAAATAAATGGAAAACAAAAGCAAGAAATCCTCCCAAAATGCCTCTCAAATATAAAGGAAAGGTAAATATATATAGAAATACAAAAAAGAAAAAAGAAATACAGAACCAGGAAGTCCGGTATATACCTTCTCTGAGTCCCAGAAATTTCCTGGGGGAGACAAGGGAGTAAAGACATAAATCTTCAAGTTCACTAAGTGTTAAGAGGAATTAACGGAGAAAGGACAGACTTAGACACATGCTATTGAAAAAGTCATGAAATCAGGGACGCCTGTGTAGCTGAGCTAGTTAAGCGGTTAAGCAGCTGCTGGCTGCAAGCTGCCTTCCAGCTCAGGTCAGGTCATGATCTCCAGGTCTCCCTTGTCAGGCTCCCCAGGAGAGTTGGCTTGTCCCTCTCCGTCTGACCCGCCAGTCTCTGCCTCTCTCTATCATAAATAAATCAATCTTTAAAAAAGGGGGGGGGGATTTATTTATTTATTTTATTTATTTATGAAAGAGAGAGAGAGAGAGAGAGAGAGAGAGAGAGAGAGAGAGAAGCAGGCTCCATGCGGGGAGCCCGATGTGGGACTCAATCTGATCCCAGAACTCCAAGATCCAGCCCTGGGCAGAAGGCAGGTGCTCAACTGCTGAGCCACCCAGGCGTCCTCAAAAGAAATTTTCACACATGAAAGAGCTCAATGTTTACTAGTCAAAAACCTTCTCTAATTAGTAAATGTATTCCAATATTACAAAGAATCCAAAAGGTATGAGCTTTAAGAAACAATGATAAGCAAAGGAAGCAGCAATACATGTGACTTTCAAAAAAAGTCAGCAATCTGGACTAGAATACATGATTTCAACACAGGAAGTTGAAGAAGGAAGAGAAAGGAGAGGGAAGTGAAGCAAACTGCAGGTTCTGTCTTGATGGAGGAAAGAAGTCACAGATTCTGATTAATTCTAAATAAAAAGAAAAGAAGTGATGGTTTAAATGCATCAAAATTTACAGGTAACTCCAGAAGAAAAAAAAAAAAGAACATATGACCTTCAAACAACTATGGGGGAAAAAAATCAGTTCAAAAACAAAAACAGGGCAGCCCAAGTGGCTCGCTCAGCGGTTTAGCGCCTGCCTACGGCCCAGGGCATGATCCTGGAGTCCCGGGATCAAGTCCCACATCAGGCTCCCTGCATGGAGCCTGCTTCTCCCTCTGCCTGTGTCTCCGCCTCTCTCTTTCTCTGTGTCTCTCACGAATAAATAAATAAAATCTTTATTAAAAAAAAAAGATTTCTTTGAGAGAGTGAGTAGTGAGCATGCACACGAGTGGGAAGGGCAGAGGAAAAAGGGAGAGAGAATCTCAAGCAGACTCTGTGCTGAGCACAGAGCCTGATGCAGGGCTCGATCTCGTAAGCCTGAGATCACAACCGGAGCTGAAACCAAGAGTTGGGCAATCAACTGCACCACCCAAGTGCCCCAAGCAGAAGGGCATTATTAAAAATAAAAGCAAGATGTAAATGAAATTAGATTTTTTTAATTTATTTATTTATGATAGTCACAGAGAGAGAGAGAGAGAGAGAGAGAGAGAGAGAGAGAGAGGCAGAGACACAGGCAGAGGGAGAAGCAGGCTCCATGCACTGGGAGCCCGACGTGGGATTCGATCCCGGGTCTCCAGGATCGCGCCCTGGGCCAAAGGCAGGTGCCAAACCGCTGCGCCACCCAGGGATCCCTGTAAATGAAATTAGAAAACACCATCACCATCATGAACAAAGCCACAGTAGAGCTAATCAATAAAATCAAGATTTTAAAAAGCCATTAAAACAGACAAATTTCCGGTATCCAAGAAAGAAGATACAGCTTTTCCTTAAAAAAATAATAAAAAATTAAAATAAATAAATTCAAAGTTAAAAGAGTATATACCCATGGGGCACCTGGGTGGCTCAGTCGGTTGGTTAAGTATCTGCCTTCAGCTCAGGTCATGATCCCAGCATCCTAGGATGGAGACCCAAGTCCCAGCTCAGCAGGGAGTCTGCTTCTCCCTTTCCCTCTCCCCTGCTTTTGTGCTCTCTTGATCCCTCACTCTCAAATAAATGTTTTTTTAATCAAAAAACAAAAGCACTGAGAAATTTTAAAAAGATGTCAAAGATGCACCACCTAAACAAGAACAAAAAAAGCACCAGGTCCTAATGGTTTCCAGGCAAACTTTTAAGAGCTTCTAGAGCACAGAAAAATCTAAAAAGATTCCTAAGTCATTCTAACCTCATATCAAAACTAGAAAAAAAATATCTCACAACAAATTGTATTAAATTATTAAACAGGGGGACCCCTGGGTGGCTCAGCAGTTTGGCGCCTGCCTCCGGCCCAGGGTGTAATCCTGGAGACCTAGGATCAAGTCCCGCATCAGGCTCCCTGCATGGAGCGTGCTTCTCCCTCTGCCTGTGTCTCTGCCTCTCTCTGTGTCTCTCATCAATAAATTAATAAAATCTTTTTTAAAAAATACATAAATAAAAATAAATTATTAAACAGCAGAATCCAGTTATGCAGGAGGAGTAATACATCATGGTCAATAGAGATTTTTCTCAGTACACAAATGATGTTTTTTTCTTTCTTTTTTTTTTTTTTTAAGATTTATTTATTCATTCATGAGAGACACACACAGAGAGGCAGAGATACAGGCAGAGGGAGAAGTAGGCTCCTCGCAGGGAGCCTGATGCGGTACTCAATCCCAGATGATCCTGGGATCATGCCCTGAGCCAAAGGCAGAGGCTCAACCACTGAGCCACCCAGGCATCCCCAAAAGATGGTTTTCACATTAGAAATTACCTCAACAGAGTCCAAAAAATTAAAATTAAGAGTATCAATTAAAATAACAGAACAGGGCAGCCCCAGTGGCTCAGCGGTTTAGCGCCACTTCAGCCCAGAGTGTGATCCTG